CTTCAGACACCATACATACCCAAAATGTAAACCTACAACACCTATGAATATTTTTTTCTATATAATACTAAGGTTTATATGAAATAGTATTATAATTTATAATACTTATAATAAAATAAAATTTTTTATTGTTCATTATCAAAAGTAATTATTACAATAATAAGTTATTTTACTTCTGTATTAGCGTCATCTAATTTGAACATATTTTATTGTTTGCATTTATTCAATCGTTTATCCTCCTAAAAATGTATAAGTAATTACGTATATACTAAATAGTAAATAGGAATATTTATCTAATGATATTTAAACTTTTAACTGTATTTATATAATATATAGTTTAAATTAACATAATTTAATATTCAGAAATTCATCTCTTACACATAATACAATTATAATTCTACATCTCTTACACATTATACAATTATCTATAATTCTATATCATAGAATCATACAAAACTTTTTTCAATCGTCCACGTCTTATTTGTTATGATTAAAATAATTGTTTTAACTAATAAGAAAATTGATTCAAGTGTTGTACCTTCACTCGTCATTTATTTTGTAGTACGACAATCAACGTGTTTTTAAAAACACAGATTCATTAATAAAACATTAATTAGTTATGTTTAAGCTTAATCAAATGTATTCATTTTGTAATCAAAATAAAAGTTAAATATATAACTATTTTTGTATTTAGCTAGGTACATAATATTCGTATCCATGTGTTTTAGTTAATTTATGTTAAAATCAAAACAAATGAAAGAACATAAATCAGAAAAAAACAAAAACTATAATTATTGCAAAAAAAAATTTAAAAAAAATATTATCTATCTGTCAACGCCATAATGATATCATGTTTTAACAAACATAATGTGTTACACGTGTGGTTAAAGTATATACCATAATAATGCGTCATATTTAACGATTTGTTAATGTCAAATGTTCAAATATTCGTGAGTAGTATCTTAGTTTAATAGTTTGTGATGTTAAATTTAACACATTCAGATATATTTACTTATCTCTATTACCTATATATCAATAATTTAGTAGTTGAAACTAGCACAAAGTAATACTACAACTACTAGCTGCAGGTGTATTATAATATAAAAAATAAATAAACCATAATATATATTATATTTTGGTGGCTGGTAACCACAATTACTTATATATTTTATTTTTTATTAAAATTTACTATAATAATATAAAATAATGACAACCACTGTCTATACCTATGGTTAAACATTAAGTTCGTAAAATATATTTTGTATTAATTCGTTTGTGTTGGATTAAACTGTAATAGTGTTTAATCCGTTTTGCGCGCTTGACGTATTTGTAATAGTTTGGTGAGATAAAAATATAATAGGTATTTTGAAAATAATTGTGAAATTTTTACTGTCATCACTCATCGCTGGCTATACTTAATAAATTGTTTTGTGATTATTCAAAAATTGTAAATAAATTATTGCGTTGAGAGATTATTATAATTCTCTATACTAACGACAATACCACGTATCCATCAAATTGACGAAAATTAGTTTTATATAGGTATTAAAATATTATAGTTATACCTACGTTAAATATAAGGTCATAGTGACAAAAAGGGACGGGCTTGGTGAGGTTCCCTCTAAATTCACTAAAGCTGCTCTTTCCTTCCGTTACACGCTTAATATAATACTTTTATACTCAGCAGACAATATTTATGAAACCTAGTATTTTGAGAGTATGGTTTGCAATTTAAAATGGATTACTGAATCGTGTTACGAAATTTAATTAAACATCGATTCAGACAAAATCTTTAATCTCGTTCTACTGCTGTTGAATTTTCTAATTTTTTTTCAATAGGTTCTACTTGAGATATGGAATGGTTAACTCTTGATAAGTTGATTCAACAACAGTACATCGTACATAATATTTAAATGCACGTGCGATATTTTTGATGTGTTATGTTGGAATATGTGGATGCACACAAAGAGAGCACAAGAATATAGCAGATAAAGAAAAATCTTCGATAACAATGCATACACTTTAAATGCCAGTTTAAAGACCGACTGTAGGTACGAGATTATTAAATAACGATTATTAAATAGGTGACACGTGTTTTTCAACTATACTATGTATTTTATCTGAATTCATAATAGATACTGCACAATATACTGAAATAGATGAATAGTAAATGATATTATACACTGCACGAAAACTGATATAGTTATATACTTATACATAATTTTCACGTTGAGCTTTTTATTGCATTATAATAAAAAAAAATAAAAAAAACATGCTTTTCTTAATACTACTTAATACATGAACGAAAAAGTTGAAAATAAACTTGCTTTTAAAACAATTTCTTAATGAAACTTCAAGGTTATCAAGATATTACCAAAAGTGTTTCTAAAATGTATTTGTTGCAAAATGTTTAAAACTTGTGAATTCCAAATACGAAACGCATGGGGCTCCTATGAGTCAAGAATATATCTTACAAAATTGGAAGTATGATCAATAATCTTTAAAATATTTATCATAAAGTTTATCTAATGATTCAGTTGTAGAGTGACTTTACATAGGAGTTATCATAAGTTCCCCATGCTTTTCGTTTTTTGTAATTCACAAGTTTTAAAAATGTTGCAATAAATACATTTTAGAAACACTTTTAGTAATATCTTGATAACCTTGAAGTTTCATTAAGAAATTGTTTTAAAAGAAAGTTTATTTTCAACTTTTTCGTTCATGTATTAATTAGTATTAAGAAAAGCATGTTTTTAAAAAAAAATTTTATTATTTTTATTTTATACTTTTTAGTGATAATAATAAATTAGAAACAAAGGATTTTTTGAAAGCATAATTTTTTTTATTTACGGTACATTTGAATATTATATAATTAATATCATATTAATATATGAACTATAATTTATTAAAATTAATATAATTATAATAGTCAACAACTCACCGTAGAAATTCTTGAAGAGCTTCCTTCATGCTTCACGAACTAGTATAAAATGATTAAATATTGAAACACGGAGTACCTATCTTTAATAATATTGTTCTGTGTCTCGGTGATATTATTAATATCCTATTTTTATCTATAATATTCACCTAATAAATATACACTATACACAAACTTTAAATAAAAACACATTATCGGCCACCAACATCCAACAGTTCTTAAAATATCAAATTATTGCTAGGTACATTATTATAACGTCATATTATTTTATAAACATTTTTTGAAAGCATAATTTAATTTTTTTTTTTGACAACTGGGTCATGTATTGTCACCGACCCTAGACCTCCATACAAAATTTGAGCCTCCTAGGTCATGTAGAAGTGACTTAAATTGAACTCGCAAGATTTTATGACAACAGAAATGAAACATTGCGAGTTAAAGAAAAGCATGTAATAATAATAATTATTGTTGTACTATTGAGCCACAGAGGTAAAAAAAACAAACATTAGAGATATTATTATTATGATTGGAAAGACATATTATTATTATATTATATTGATAGATAATTAAAAGGAACACACACGAGTAATGAATTGTAATAAATAAAATGTAGGTACTGTTTACCCAGTTGTCTTGAAATCGACACTTTCACAAATACGGCATACATATATCTTTAAGCAATTCAAAAGATTTGTCGAAAAAAATGTATTTTAATTAGGTACCTACCTATATTTAAACTCGCAAATTCGTATATTAGTGCATTATATGTCTTGTGTGGACAAAAAGATACCTTAATTCGATTTTAACAGTCGAGTGTTATAAGAGACAAATAGTGACAAACTTATTGGCTCGTCGTACCTATAATAATAACTAATACCTAAGTATAATAACGATGATCGATGGTTGAACACTTCAGGTTACAGTTTAAACGACAAACGACCGTACATCGAATATATCGAACGAATTTGGTGTAATATACCTTAACGTGTTAGTTTTCTATGGTATTTATTTACGAGTTTCCATAATATAACATATATATATACCATTTGTTATTATTATATTCTAAGTTTATTATAATATATAATAGCGTGTGACACTTCAAGGACAAGGGCGCACGCAAATTGTTACGCGATAAAAACGCATAAAATGTTTACGAGACACGATTGTATATTATCGTAGATAGATCGACAAACTAAGGTATTGTGTTCTGTTGACGTTTTCAAATATTTACGATGGACAAATTCCTCTGTATGGTACATTGTGCCTGGCCGGGCACGACCTATCATCTTAATATATGAATTGTACTTCATCAGTCATCACTCATCATCATCCGGGGTGGTAACGCTTTCCCTAATTTCACTAAACTGGGGCCCGATGAGCGAACAGTTTTTTTTTTGCCGAACATAATATTATTATGTCAATGTTTGTGAATGAATATTGTTAAAAACATTACTGCGGGAAAATAAAGATTCGATTGATTATAGTTTTTTTTTTTTTGCTTTAGGTACCATTAAAATTATCCTAACAAAGGATCGTTACGACTATGAAATATTTATTAAAAATTACATAAATATTGAACATACATTATAATACGAAGAACGGAAGGAATATCCAGAAAAACTGTTTACTCGTTTGATAATATTTTAAACATTCAAAATAATTCTCATTTTTAAAAAATCTAAAGAGTGACTATTGACTAATTTTCCAATTCCCACGTTGCATATCCGAAGAAGTTTTCGTTCCGTTACATCTATCCACCTTAGTACCTACTGTCATCCAAATTGTTGACATGAAATTATATGTTGACTCAAACTTTGGTAATATTAGAGCCACTTTAAATCTGATTCTTGTGTTGAAAAAAAATTCATGTGGGATATCATAAACTAGTATACTACGCACAATTGCACAAAACCAATCTGTCTTCACTTATCGTTAACCAAAAATAAAATGATTTATCAGACCATTAAAGGAAATTCGTATATGTACTTGGGAAGTGGCTAAATTCCGATTCGACTGGCCCAGAAGTCACGTATGAGTAACAACCGAAATGATAGAAACCATTTTAGCGATATTGTGATCTCAGCCCTCTCGAAGGGTTGTGAACGGTCAACGCACTCTCATCCACCCTACTTACGCACGCCGGAAGTGGACGTCTGCCGCCACCGTAATCGTTTCCGGTGTCGCCATCTTGACTCGACTGTCGCTGGCCACCGGAACACCGGACACGTGCGCTCGTCGAACGCGCCTCGCAGATGGCGCTAGACGATACGCCGAGTGACGGCGACCGTAACCGTGTTCTTGGTCGGGCGGGTTCTCCACTCCCACCGCAACCGACCATACTGAACGTTCGAGTGTACAAGAGACGGTGTGCTTGTGCGCGCGTACCCGTGGTAACCCGTTAGTAGCCGATGTAGATCAGATGTAAAAGCACTGTTAACGCCGTTGTTGTTGTAGTCGTCGATATCATAATATGATAAAATGTTATTAGAATAGGCTCTGAATTGTATTTTTTTTTATTTTTTTTTCGTTGGGTTTTGTTGTTCTCATTATAATATTAGATTATCAGTGAACGCGCGCATCTCTAAGTTTCCGTGTTGCTTTACGCTATACCTGCCTACCATATCGTCGCCGACCATGCTCTCTCCAAAAGTCTGACTTGCGGCTGTGTATCTATATACATACAGCTGTTTCATAGTAAGTACACACGAATACGTATAATATAATTCACCTAATACAATATATTATATAATATAATATATACACGACATTGGACCGAGCTTAACGATCGATACGGCGCCGGGAATCGCGGCGCCGTCGTGCTAAAACCTAACTTGTCAACTCGGACACAGGAAACGCACATACGCAAGCGTAGGCCGACTAACGATCGAGTTTATGGTGAAAACGACGATCGATCATCGTAAAATCGTATCCGTTATGTCATGTCTTATATTTTCGTATCACAATAATTCACGATGTCATACGTCCCCTAATGCGAGTATAATATAATATTGTTATGTATGGAGAGTAGGCATTACATTCGTATCGGTCGTACACAATAATACAATAATATTATTTATTATTATTACAATATCGATTTTGCACGTATACCCCGCAAATTACGCAACAGTGAACAAACAAACAACAACAACAACGATGAATAATAATACTTGGGGGGAAGTATCGATTTTCGTAACCCTATATATATATATTATTGTTGTAATATATTATGCTGCATCAGCTACGCGTGCATAATAATAATATTATGTTATTATTATTATTATTATTATTATAATTACTATTATTGTTGTTTTTTTTTATTAGTACGTAAGTATATATATGTATGTATTTATGTGATTGTGTACTTATGAGTGTGTGTGTGCGTGTGTGGCCGTGTGGGTGAAGCACCTGCAGCCTTTCGATGTCAGAATATTATTATGGGTAACGATCGCCAGCAATGATCCAATTTTCGAAGCCGATATGCGCGTTATGTCTGACCGCGAATTTTTGCGCCGACGTCAACAGATAACTATTATAATATAATATCGCACAGCCACATACTAGGCTGACGGGCGTGTATCATCCCAAAACCCACGTTATAAAGATGTCAAATTCAATGTGTTTATCATTTGTGTCGTCGTCAAAATGTGTCGTATGCCGTGGCCTTTCTACTTTTCGCAATACAACTTACAATTCATATCGCAATTCAACTGTTTTAAATACATTTTGTTTCTAATTAAATCAAATAGATCGATACTGGTATATCTCCACAATCTACAAACAGATGAATAATAAAGTACATCCCTGCAAAAACCCACTCTGAATAATTGACAGTGATCTGATTTGTGCGGGTTCTGGACAAGCTTTTTTGGTAATTTTTATTTCATAATTGTTACCTACCTATCTACCTACAATTACTGAGGTGAGAAAATTTAACGAAATCAGTGTAGGCCGCACATTATGTTGCCATAACATTTTTCAGTGAAATATTTTGTGTTTCTATTTAAATCATATTAACGACATTTAACAAAAACTATTACCTAATGAAGTTGAATGTTTGATAATCACGGTTTACAATATTATTCGTTCATATTTCCATATTTTAAAAACTGAATAACATAATAATATAAATAACATATTATAATTTAAGGAAAGAGGTTTTACAATGAATGTTCTAAGAATAAGCGATTTCTACATAATCATTATTACTAGAGAATTGATTGACACATCAGGTAAAGTCATGTCAGTGCGAAGCTGGTACAGACATTACAAGACAGGATAGGTCATCCATTGACATAATCGTGATTAAAAATAATAATTTTTTATATCAATTAGCAATCCCATATCTGAAACAACCAATGAAAAAACGCGAGTTGAATAATATATTTTCATCATCGTTGCCTGGAGTTTAATTTGTATTTATAACATAAAAGAAAATAAGTATCCCTATAATAATATTTATCATATATATATCTACGTAATGTTATGCTTAGGTACGAGCACGTTACTTATTAATTGCATACATCAAACATTGTGTCGTTCACAACGTATTAGGTAGGTACCTAAGCCTTATCCATTATCATAATTCAAGTGTGTTTGGTTGAAAATTAAAATTAATTGTTATATTGATAACATTCGAATTAAAATTGTAAATTAATAGTAGGTATTAAGAAGAGACAATATCATAATAATATTATTAAAGATAAATGAAAAAAATTCAGAATCTATAATAATTGTATGGTTAAAAAATATTTGCTGTGAGCTACAATTTTGCAGTAAGCAACACGAGTCAGCCAATGTTCTAAACCAGAAATTTCCCAACATTTCTTTTTAGGGTCACCGAACTAAATCGCCTAAAATAGTTTTTGTAAAATTTCTTTTAAATACATTTATATATAATTGTACCTATTAGATTTTGAATTGTTAGTACAATTCATTTTACAAGTAGGTACTTATCTATTGTTTTTATTTGAATACAATAAAAGTCATAATAGTTTTAACAACGTTCACAACGTTGTAATGCTAACATTACCAAACGGCCGTTAACAGTCTTGGTAACATTATATTATACTATTACAGGAGGTTGTGACCTCAAAAAGGTAGTGAACCACTGTTATAGATAACATTCAAATGCATCGATTTTGTCAAATAGGTATTTCAATACGATTAATGTATAGTGAATTGTATTAAAAATTTGTATATCATCCAAATTGTAAGCACTAAGTGCAATCAATAAGTAGCTAAGGTATTACATTTTGTTATAAACGACAAATTGTATTAAGTTGCAAACACAATCCAATAAAAATTATAACATGTGCAGTACATGACACGACTAATTTGTCCACAGTATGCGCCAGTTAGGGCCAGTTGTACCGTCTACGGTTAAACAACGATTAAGCTTAATCAGCTGATAACTCAGATATTTAACAGGGCAAAATCGGCTGATTAAACTCCGGTTAACTTTAATCAAAGATGGTACAACTCTATGGCCCTAAGTGAATGTTTATTTTAGGATTGATTAAATCATTTTTTACAAATTACCATAGTTGAATAGTGTAAACGCCAATTTGTACAAGTAACTCAAAATAAAGGGCTCACCAACACAATTTGAAGACAATTTCATAAAAAATATTTAAATCTTAAACTTTTGTTAAAACGCATTAATGCACTATTGTCCATAAAAAGTAAAATCTTATTGATCCAGGAATACATAATTATAATATCTATCCTAAGGACTAAATTAGTTACAACAATTTAAGGATTGAAAATATCTCGAAACCATGTCTCTTCTGAAAAGATGAATGTGATGTTGCTTAAATTAAATCTTATAATACATTGTATAATTTATTATCATTATTTTTATTTATTACTATTAAATTGCATCTTTCCAAACTATCGATTATTGGATCCAAATAATTGTGGAGACAATGCTGATGACGAACCGTTTGTTTTTTAAAATTCGTCGATTATCTATGTCTATTATAGTGTATAATATAATAATGATTATAATATGTTTTCTCTGTACTCAATAAATCCAAGTCTTCGAAATAAAAATTTATTGAAACAATAGTAACTAAACCGTATGAAGAGGTGGCAACAAAGAATATTACATAACATAACTGATTTCTTTTCATGTATGTACAAAGTGTACCTACATAAATATCGTAATAATATCTTCGTGCTTTATCCAACAAAGTCACTGTCGAAATATCGGTTTCGATATTATTATTCTTAAAACACTCTGCTCGGATCCTTAAGAACCAATTAGAATTGTATCTGTAGTGATGTTACCTAGCAAAAACTATTCTTGTACAGGTTACCCGAAATAGGCCGATATTGAATTATGCAAAGTTGTATTAGGTACTGCAGCCGATAAATTATGTTCACGTTGCCAAGCCCAGATAAAACCACACTAAATAATGTGTAGGTAGGTAAAGACTATTGCCAAGATGTTGGTTGTTCAGATAATAGACGACTCTCAGTTTAAAAATTAAAAAATTTAGCTACAATAATATTCAATAACAACGTAAGAAGAAGTGGGTTATTATTTTTTTTCCGAAAACCAAACGTCGAACACGTCAATAATGTCGATGGCCTTCGATCGTGTGAATTGTTCCACTATACATATAGACGATTTGGGTTAATTATCGTTGTTTTTTTTTTTTATATATTACATTATTGTTTCGTGCATCTATATAGAGTAATTGAACCACCGAAACTATTGGTAGGTAATCAAATGATGAACAAAAACTCGTATTCCTGCACAATCTGCGTTATTATCGTCTATTCTACACGACGGTTCATACGCAAGTTAGTGTTGTTATACCTATTTTATGTTTTAATAATATAATATTACATTATTACCTCGATTTTTAACTACTTTTTAACTCAAAGTCTCAGCGATGATAAACCCATCACGGTTCATATTATGTAGTATGCAGCGTACGTATATTATTATTTATTATCAATAGACGTATAATAATGATGTGGCCACTTGTTGGATTTACAGTCAAACAATAATTTTGATATATTTTTGTACAAGCCACGAAGATAATATTATCTCTCATAAAAAATTATTTCTATATTTTAAACTATAATAGCATAATATATTTTTATTAAAAACGCGGCCGGTAGACCGTAGTGAGATTTGATTTTGCAGCTGCTGTTTAGCGGCGCTTTTTTCCGTCGTCCAAATCGTGTTAGTTAACCGATAAAATGCATAAAATAATATTTATACATAAATGCCTCGAAATTTGCCGTATCTAATACTTTTTTTTATACTATTACTATCATAAATTGGCCGTTAATAGCCGTCTCGAAATGTCGGCTGAGAAGGTTTAT